CCCGCTCCCCCTCTGGTGTAGTCTGTGAGAGCACTCCGCCTACGCCCACTCCGCTAGCGTCTGTGTCCAGGGTGAAAGGCAGACTGGGGTTGGCCGGGGCGAGAACCGGGGCTTCACTCAAGGCACGCCGAAGGCTGTCAAACGCTGCTTGACATTGCTCAGACCAGAGGAAATCACTGTCTTTCTGTAGCAGCTGGAACAGGGGTGCAGCAGTGCAAGCAAAACCCCGTACAAACTTCCTATAGTACGAGGCCAGGCCCAGGAAACTCTTCAGCTCCTTCTGGTTGCGAGGATTTGGCCAGTCCGCGACCGCCTGCACTTTCTCTTGTAGGGTGCCGATGCCTTCGCCCCCCACTTTGTGGCCCAGGAAAGTGACCTCTCTCTGCATGAAATGGCACTTCTCTGGGTGTAGCTTCAGGCCAGCGGCTCTGATCCTTTCCAGCACCACTCTTAGAGATCCCAGGGCCGCCTCAAACGAGCCGCCATGCACCAGGATGTCGTCCAGGTAAACCAAGCACTGCTGACGGGGAATACCAGACAGCACCCTGTCCATCAACCGCACAAAGGTGGCAGGGGCATTACAAAGCCCAAAACTGAGGACCTTGAACTGCCATAGTCCCCGGCCGGTGCAGAAAGCAGTTTTTGGCCTGGCCTCTGGGGCCAGAGGGACTTGGTAATACCCACTGCGGAGGTCCAAGGAGGAGAACCACGACGACCCGGAGACCAGGTCCAGGGACTCATCGATGCGGGGAAGTGGGTATGAATCCTTCTTAGTGACCCCGTTCACCGGCCTGTAGTCTGAGCACAGCCGCCAGCCACCTATCTTCTTTGGGACCATGACTACAGGTGCTGCCCACGGGCTGTCGGAGGGCTCGATGATGTCTGCCTGCAGCATGCTCTGCACTGCCTCGTCACAAGCCTGCTGACGAGCCAGGGGAAGTCGGCGAGGGCGACACTTGATGGGGCGCGAGTCCCCTGTGTCAATCTCGTGTTCTACCAGATGAGTTCGGCCCACCTCCCCCTCACTCATGGCGAAACTGCCCTGGAACTCTAGCAGCAGCTGCCACAATTGCTCTTGCTGCTCGGGATTAAGGCTGCCACAGTTCTTCCTCCACACCTCCCATACTGCCGGCTGAGCCTCTTCCACCCCAGTCTGGGGTAACTGGGGAGGGGCTGTGGTCGGGTGGCACAGGCCGGGGGCGACAGGTGTGGAGTTGCCCTGAGTGGGCGTCACCGGGGATAAAGGCAAAGAGGGAGGATTATTTTCCGTTTCCAGGGTACTCACGGGGTGTGTCCCAGCCGGTTCAGCAGGGGTGTGGATACGGGTCATAGTGATCACAGGCCCCCCGTGGAAACTCACTGTGCCTGCCTGAAGGTCCAGGTGGCAACCAGACGCCCTCAAAAAGTCCAAGCCCAGAATACACGGATCCTGTACATCTGCTATCCACACCGGATGCTGCACTTCAACTCCCCCCACCGACACAGTCAGCATGCCTTTTCCTTTCATAGGTGCCAGCTCTCCCGTGACTGTGCGTAGACGCACCGCTGTCGGTTCTAATTGAGTCCCACTGGGCAACACATCTGATCTCACCAGGGTCACTGTCGAGCCTGTGTCCACCAGCGCAGTGCAGGGCACCCCTTCCACAGTGACAGGGACATAACAGGAATCCCCACCACCAGCACGGCCCACCGCGACGACAGGCTCCAAGCCTGTGCTGTCATCTTCTTCAGGAAGGAGTAGAGCCTGGCTCCCCCGGCTGTGCTGTCGGGCTCCTTCCTCGGCTGTCTGTGTTGGTGGCAATACGGCTGTGGTTTGGTTGGTGGGTTTTTGGGCCTGGATCCGCATCTTCCCCTTTATGCGGGCCCCCCGTCGTTTCCCTGGGACCGGCGTGCCTTGGGGCAGTCTCTGGCCAAATGTCCTGGCTGACCACACTCCCAGCAGACCCTGCTACTTGGCCTGCGTGTTGACTGCAGAGTCACAGCCCTTATCAGTTCAGTCATTTCGGCAACCCATGCAGGCTTCTCCTCCTCTCTGCAGCTCCTCACAGCCGGTAGTAACGGCCCTCCGCTGCTCCTAGCAGCTACACTCCACACATTCTCTCTCTCCACAGCCATCTCCAAAGCCGCCTGCAAGGACTGTGGATGCTGCAGCTGTACCTCGACCCTCAAGTCCGCAGGGAGGAGGGCCCTGATGAATTGATCCCGTGCCAGCTCACTCTGCACTCCGGGTGGCATGTGTGCATACGCCCGCCGCGTCAGGCTTTCCACGTCGTTAGCCAACGCCCGCAGCGTCTCCCCAGACTTCCTACAGCGGTTATTTATTTCATTCCGGAGCAGCTCTGGCGGGAAACACTGTCCAAACCGCCTCTTCAAAGCCCCCGCTAACGCTTCATAGCTGTGTCGGTCCTCAGGGCTAAGTAGTAGCAGGCATGAAAGAGCCTCGTCTGTGAGGCACAGAGCTAACTGTAGCGCTTTAGTCTCTATTGACCACTCCCCGGCATGTGCTAGCAGTTCAAATTGGGCATGGAAAGCCTCCCAGTCTGACCTACCCGAGTATTTGGGTGTTTTCACGGACGCGGCGGCTGCTACTGTTTGCTGGGCGCCGCCATTGTTGTTTACATCCAGAATGTCAATGGCGCGAAACGCCGCTGAGGAAGGAGTCATCCCCGCGTCTCTAGCCATCCTCACCGCCGACTCTCTCAGGCGCTCTCTCGCCTCCCGTGCACTCTTGAACTCCCTACTCATGTCCTTCGACCACCCGCATGCTCCATCCTCCTCTCCGTCACTATTTTCTTGCTTCACTCCCATCCTGCCGAACTCATCCATCTCCGCTAGCTCACCGGCTAACTCCGTGACGCAGTTACGAGCTCCCGTCAGGATAGACGTCCTTCGTTCGAAAAAGTCACTTCTGACACCAATGTAACGTTCGACAAAGGGAGTCGGAAATAGGCTTCAAGTTCTTGGTGTTTAATAGCTCCTTTGTTCGCACACGGTCACAGGTTACATGTTACAGGTTGCAGGTTCATCAACACTCTGAGCTCTACTCCCTCACTCCCAGACACAAAACAGGGTCAACGTCACGACACCCCAGCCCTCCCCCCTCTGCTCCCCCAACCACAGGCCCGCACACCGACCAGCATTACTGTGCAGCTCCGTGATTGGCCGAGAGACGGGGGACGCTTGAGTGACACACCCAGCACCCTATGCAGGGTCGCTACAATATATTGAAAAGTTATTTGGCTGATTGTTTTATATTGGCTCAGCCAGGTTATATGGGATGCCCAGTCTACGTACAGATGGGTCACACATTTTGAAATATTAAACTTAGTTTTCTTTTCTAACATTTTTAATTTTTCATCCTCATGTAGAATGCTATTATGAAACACACATTTGGTTGTTTATAGCATAAAGAACATCTGATTTAATGTGAGGTAGGGAAATAATCATTTGAGTATAAGTATGTGTATATAAATATGTAATTTACAACAGCTGTAAGATGCTTGAAAAGCTTGAAAATGCACCTTGAAAATGCTTGAAAAGTGCTTGAATTTGACTTTGGAAAAGGTGTAAGAACCCTGACTACAGCATTTCCAGCGGGTCGAGCGGTCTCGTGTGAACGGACACGTTAATTGAGACGAATGCGTGTGAACGGCAGACTTTTTTGAAAACGAATTCGGTGCGTAAACGCTAACGTATCCGTTTCGTCCTCGTGTAAATGGGGCTAAAGTTATCTCAGTGGGTCTCAAACGTTTTGATAACAATTTATGTAAACACATATTTCCAAGGCACTCCTTTATAATTATTGGGATAAACAGGTTTGAAATCATTTCAATGTATACTATAGGACAGTAAACCAAAAATATTGTTTAAAACTGGAGAGATAAAAAAAATGCTAAATTACTAAATAAATGTTAACTAGGTAAAATAAGATATGAATGAACAACAAAAATAAAATAAGTTAAATGTATTTGTTATTGGCTATGGTAGGTTATTGGCAGAGTTGGGTGTAACGCGTTGGGTATAACGCATTACAAAGTAACGTGTTACTGTAATAATATTACTTTTGTCGGTAACGGAGTAATGTAACGCATTACTTTTATAATTCAATAATCACACTACAGTTACTAACATTGCCCGACACGCGTTACTTCGTTACTTTTATAAAATCAGTAATCACACACTACAGTTAGCCTACTAACATACAGAATTACTAGATTCTCCCTTTGACAAACAAGAGGGATTTCCGCCGCAGGTTTATATTTAAGTAACATTGGCGTGACTTGCGCGTCCACATGCAGTGCATAAACATGGCTGAGTCAACAGCGATAACTTTCGAGGGGTGGAGCGGAGGTATGCCCATTATTTTGAGTTCGTCCGAAGAAAGGACAGGAATGTGACGGTGAGGTGCAAACTGTGTCCAGGCCAGAAGCTTTTATCCACTGCTGCAAACACAACGTCAAACTTCAACAAGCACCTGCAAAGACAACGCCAGCTAAAATCTCGCCTAGGGCATCAAATTGGCTAGAACCGGCCCTGATTATAACTATAGGTGCATCAATGTGTGTTTCTGTGGCACTAATTTTAACTAATTTATATTATTTTGCTACATAATGTTGATCAATAACGTTTAATCTTAATCTATAATATCTCATCATGCATTATCTGTTAACTCTTGTTTTACCTCAAAAGATTATACAAAAATATTTTAAGATACAAAATCCTTATTCTAGGAAAAATGTCTCATTATTCAGAGTTACTAACTCATTATTTTGAGATACGAAGTCATTATTTTATTCTGAGAACGTCTTTAGTTATAATATTTTATTTCCCCCCTTTAATAAGGCTAATTTACAATACAAATTAATACTAATACTATGTTAATAGTAATACTTAAATTCAATATTAAGTTTGTAATGTTTTTTGTAGTTGTTACTTTTCCCTGCAGAATCTCTTTTCCCACTCCAGCAGGTGGCGGTAATGCACCTCTACTCGTGTTGGGCACCTGTCAGACGAACACCACAGAAGAAGAAAGCAGAACGTGCTGCTGGAGGTCAGAGGATAGACGAGAAGACTTTCTCAGTATCTGTAAAAAAAAATCTGCATTTTCACGTTTAAAACTCAGTGAGGATTTAACATTCACATCAACAGGACACTGTCTACTGCTGTGAGTGAATCCAGCAGCTCGTCGTCGACCAGTCTCTCTTGGATTTTGAGTATTACGACATAGCTAGCTAGTGCTTGCTAACGGCTAGCAGCTCCGGTGTTCACCAGGTGAACCTCGGATCTCCTCACTTTACAGCCATGGACAACTCGCAAGGGTCGGGAGGAATGAAAGGAGGTGTCGGGGGTCTCTTTGGAGGAGGTGAATACTCCAACACAGAGCTCGCCGGTGTTCCCTGTAAGTTTTCCCTTTGCTTTATTCTGCTAACACCGGTAACATATGTGCTGGTCGCTCTATGCCCTTTGGATGTCTTGTTAATACAACCGTTACACAATTTAAAAGGTTAGCTAACATGCTATTGTGATTTCATTTCAGTGACTGGAATGAGTCCTTTGTCTCCTTACCTCAATGTCGACCCTCGGTACCTTGTTCAGGTAAGCTAAAGTGGAATGTATCTTCTTTGTAAATTCAGATTCTGTTAAGTACTATCATTAGGCATAATGGAGATATGAGAAATGTGACAGCCTGATAACCCATTTGAAGCTTGACTATATGGGCTCAGACAATAAGCAGATTTATATTATTTTAGATATTACAATGTTTCCTACATGTTGTCTAGATTTGAAAAAGTTAATGTATTGAACAGTAACAATAACAGCCTGCAAGACCAAGCACTACCCTATAATCTAACCTTACCTTATCTTTTAAGTGAATCCAAAACAATATTCCATCACTCAAATGCTATATAAATAGAGGCATATGGCAAATCAAAATAACAGTACAATGGATTGATTTAGAGAAGAAGAAGAGTAACACATTTACAAATGTGTTTTTTTTAACAAAATTCATTTTCTAACAGCTGTTGATGTTGTGTTTCAGGACACAGATGAGTTTATTCTGCCCACCGGTGCCAATAAAACAAGAGGGAGGTTTGAACTGGCTTTCTTTACAATTGGAGGCTCCTGCATTATTGGTAAGGCAAAGTACACGTGTTCATTATATATATTTACTGTATATAAATCCCTTTCACTTTACATCATTTTTTGCTTTGTAGTAAAAATGATAAACGTGTGTAGAATATGAGTATACACATTTCGTACACGGGGTGTTTAAAGTGCTTTACAAAAGAATAAATAACAGGTTCATTAAAACTGGTGCACAGAATGAGTCACACATTAATACAAACAAACACTCAAAATACTGGACAAAAAATCTGTTTATTCTCATCACTGCCCAATACTCAAAACATGTTGTTGAGCTTGAAACATGCAAATGCTTGCCTTTTTTACAAGATTGTCAACGGCCTTACCTCACCTCCTCTTAGACAGTTTATTAATATACGCACAACTGCAACTAGGATAACAAGAGGTGCAGCGAGAGGAGATTGCATTATTCCACTCAGAAAAAGTTCTTTCAGTCAGTCTTCATTTTCTGTTAAAGCTGCTCAGCAATGGAACTCAATCCCATCTCCAATCAGAGACCAGACTACATTCAGTTTATTTAACCCAAAACTCAAAATATGGTTAGTGAGGAATCCGCTCTGCCAACACTGACACATGATCTGCTCCTTAAAACCCACTGCCTGTGTTTTATAATGTTCTTTTGTTTTGTTTTATTTGTTTAGTTATATTGTTCTGTCTTTTAAATTGTTTTATTTAAGTATTCCAGTAATGTGTGTTCCATGTTTTACATTTATTGTATTTACTTGTTTAAAATGAAATGTGTTTTAGGTTGACTTTTAAAATCTGTCCAGGGACTACAGATGAAAAATAGCCTCTTCGCTAACTCTGGCACATTTACAGAAATGTTCATTAATGTGCACTGTCCCTGTTAAATGAATGAATAAATAATAACTGGAACATAACTTGTTTTGACTTCAGGAGCAGCATTTGGGGCTGTAAATGGTCTCAGGGTGAGCCTGAAGGAGACTAGAGACCTGGGATGGTCCAAACCTCGTAATGTGCAGTGAGTGTGGACACTTCAGTAATATTTATTTAATTACACCTGGATCACTGGAACTGTCTTCTAAATGTTTGCATTCTCCCTTCAGGATCCTCAACATGGTGACCAGACAGGGGGCTTCATGGGCCAACTCTCTGGGCTCTGTTGGTAAGAGAGTTGGCTGCTCTGTTGGCTGCTCGATTATGGCAAAAATCATAATCACGATTATCTTTGGTCAAAATTGATATCACGATTATTAAATACGATTATTCATTGACTTTGAAAACATCCATTTATTGAACTTTAAAAAAATAAAAAAAATAATTTGAACAGTATGTTTTTAACAGTTGATTACCCTGAACTTTAAGTATAATTCAACTGAAAAAACCCATTTATATCTACATTTAAATAAATAATGTCAAAAATAATAAATACCAATAAAGATCAACAAATATTTTTGAGCGCACTTCCACAACCTACTAAACATATATAAATTAGGGCTGTCAAGTTAACGCGTTAATAACGCGTTAACGCAAAAAAAAATTAACGCCACTAATTATTTTAACGCGATTAACGCATGTGTATTTTTTGTCCTCGGCCGCCGTAGTTTCAGAGCGCATCGAGTTTAAAATACCATCTACAAGCTGATGCTGACAGCCCCGCTCCTGCCGCCCGCTTGTGGCAGACCACACTTCCACGCTCACCGGCAGGCCCGGACTGGCCATCGGGAGGACCGGGAGGGTGTGTGTATGTGTGGCGCGAGCTAAGCACACCTTACGTGTTGTTGTTAGCATCTGGTGCTAGCTAGCTGAGCTAACGGATATAAGGAGCTGTTTCAATGAAAACAGAGGAGCGACATTTCGCCGACAACTGCGCCGAGCACTTGACTTTATGCAGGTAGCCAGACAGCACACTCAGCACGGATAGTGCGCGCAACACAGCTCATACACACAGGCATATATGCCTTGAGCTGCACATAGCTCCAACAATCCATCACAGTGTCTCCACATTCACACACACACACACACACACACACACACACACACACACACACACACACACACACACACACACACACACACACACAGTATTGTATTATTGTATGAGAGAGGTTCTAGGTTGAATTGAGGCGAATATTTGTAATGTTCAGAGGTTGTTGTGTTTAATATTCATGAGAATATTTGTCATTGTTCAAATGATAATAAACAAACATATAAAGCATAGTTGTCCACTCATATGTTGATAAGAGTATTAAAAACTTGAAAAATATCCCTCTAAGGTACATTTAGAACAGATAAAAAATGTGCGATTAATCGCGATTAACTATGGACAATCATGCGATTAATCGCGATTAAATATTTTAATCGACTGACAGCCCTAATATAAATATGATCTCTAATGTCACTCACAACCTGTCATGTTTAATCTGCTACATGCAGTACTCTTATTTTTGGTAACCCCTTATCCGAAAGTAGCGAGCTAAGAGGTTCCGGCTTGACGAGGTTAGTAAAAGTTGACTGTACTCTAGAGACCGGAGCATGAAGCACCGGAGAATAAATACACGGCAACTAAAGCTTCCCTTGTAACGTGTTTATATGGCTTTATTAAACAGACTGCAAGTCACAACACAACCTGGCAGAGAGGGCTTTTAGGGAGGGGTGAAAGCGCACGCGCGGGCAGGATGTATAACGCAAGAGAAATTGAGAGCATCATTGCGAAAGGGAATGCAGCAAAAATAATCGTTTTATTTCGATTACGCTGTTTTCGTAATCGTTGCAAGCCAAAATCGTAATCAAGATTAAAATACGATTAATTGCACAGCCCTAGTAAGACCCTTATAAAAAACTAATCCCAAATCATACTGCAACATCTAGGGAAGCTTTACTTTATTTGTATACACTACATATTATATTGGTGTGCTTTTATGAATTTGTGTTGTTTGGTATATTTCTTTTATGAAACCTTTATGTTTTTTTCTTTGCCGTTGCAGCCTTGTTATATAGTGTTTTTGGCGTGGCGATAGAGAAGGCCAGAGGAGCAGAAGACGACATCAACACGGTGACCGCTGGGATGCTAACTGGGATGCTCTTTAAATCCGGCAGTAAGTGTTTTATCTGTTATACACCTACCACTAATGTGCGTGCTATTTGCAGATGTGTTTTAATGAAACAAAGATAGCTGGATTTTAACATTCATTGTCTCCATATAAAATCCTGCTGCGGAAAAATTATGTTTTCACAAGTTCTCAATTAAATTAATGCAACTTTAATCCTACTGAACCACCAAAATGCAATGTTTTTAATGCTATTGGGCTGCAACAAGTGATTGTTTATTAAGCTAGGGATTATATACTTTTATTTATAAGTAATCTATTAAATTGATGCCTATTTCCACCTTGCACGAGTCATAAGTCTTCATTTCTGAATAAATGTTTTCTAAGATCCCAGTTCTACAGTCATTGATCAAATAATTGGAGTGCACAAATACACCTGATTTTATAATATGGAACTTTGGACTATGGCCTGGAGCCATGAAACAGAAATCTTTCTGAAGTTGTTATTTGGCATGTTTTAATGCATTATACAATGTTCATACACAGCTCTATCATTGATTCTGTTTCCTCTCTATGTTTGCAGGTGGATTGAGAGGTGTAGCCAGAGGAGGCCTGGCTGGTTTAGCCTTATCTGGTGCCTACGCTCTCTACAGCAACTGGGACCACCTCAAAGGCTCCTCCCCCTCCCCGTCCTCCAGGCTGTACTAACCCTCTCCCACACAGATCTGCTTTACATTAGGGCCAAATATCTCTCCAGGACACAGCCTTTCACCACAGCGCTAAGAGGAATTACACTCTGGTCAAATGCAGTGTGCTTTTCAGGGAAGTGTGGGCTCTTCCCAGTACTCTGGTTCACTTTCCTTTCCAGGACCATTCTGGGAAACAAAGGATGTGGTTGAAAAGAAAAGGAAGATTGGACTAAACTCCGCTGGGAATCGAGATGTAGACCGTCCTATAACACCCCTCTCTCTTCATTTATCTGTGGGATTCCTGTCGCTGATCTGATTAGTCATAAGAAAGGTTTTTTATAGAAGTGTGTCATTTGTTATATTATTGTTTATGTGAGACTTATAAGTCTTCTTTGATGCTAGTTTTGAAATCAATTAACCTGTGATATATGGGTTAAATAAGCCAAAGGGTGACACCTGGTGTGTGTGGTTCACCTGATGAACGACAGCATGTTCTGATTCTGGACTGAAAGACTCTTCTAGACGAGCAAAGAGATTTTCATTTACGATGTACAAACACAAGAACGAAGCCTTAAGGTCAGTTCTCAATACTGTTGTATTTATTGAAGCGTATATGCAGTGGTTCCTGTTTTACTGTGCAAGAAGAAATCACTGTAAAGCTGTTGGTGTCTCATCACACTCGCTGTATTAAAAACTATATTAAAAAAATGTTGACAAAGATTTAGCTTTTAACTATTTTATTGCACAATTGTAGACTGGATGTAAAAGTGTTGTACATTATGCACGACTTTGTTCAGAGCAGTGCATAGTGTACAGTGTAAAATATGATGTGTTTAAAACAATAATTGCCCATTCAGAACTTGTATTTACATCTTGAAGTGGTTGCTGAATGGACTATGGCACATCAAAACAGATTGTTGTCTCATGTGGACGTCAGACATTAAACCGAGCTTAAGTTTGCTGCCAGCTCAGAGCCGGGGACACGTTTAGTGCAGGAAGAAGTCCCTGATGCGCGTCGCCTCGATCCAGGGGATGTAGGCAGCGGTGCGGGTGAAGACGCTGGGTTTGTTCTCCACGGTGCAGCCAATCGGGCCGAAGCTCACCACACCGTGCACCTCCCAGCGGTCGTGACCCTGCTGGCACAGCAGAGGGCCGCCGGAGTCACCCTGAGAGATGGAGAGAGATGGTGAGGAGGTGGCATCTTTTTTAAATTATTTATTTATTTTACCCCCAACATATTCAGTAAATCGGAGTCTAGAGTTCAGTGTATAGTCGACAAAATTATATATCAATCAAGAGAAAAGTTATCAAATCATTTGGTAATAAATTAAAAATATTTTTTTATGCTTACATTGCAGAACCTGCCTCAAATAATGAGATTTGCTTTGTGTTTTATATTATATTCAAATTTAAAGGAGACCTAGTATGCTCTTTTTCAGGTACATATTCGTTTTGTGCCTACTGTCACATGTCTCCATGCTTTAATGTTAAAAAATGACCTCTTTTCACCCTCTGTCTGAAACCAGAGCCCAGTCTGCTCTGATTGGTTAGCTGGCCGACTTTGTAGTGATTGGTCAACTGCCTAGAGATGTCCCGCCCCTTAGCCATTGTATTGGAGCGCTAGCCAATAGAATCGCAACTGTTACGTAGTGATGTCACTATGTCGCTGAAGTTAACAATCAAGGTGTTTCAGGCAGGGGGGTGCGGTATATTTGGGGGAGAGTAACTCCCTCTGGAGGGAACTTTGGGATTGTAGCCTTTGGAGACCATGCACAAAAAACAATATAACTACAGGAAAGAAAAAACCCAAATAAGTATAATGAGGCCTCTTAATCGCCTTGGAACTGGGATGGTTGATTCTCACTATTTTCTGACATTTCATAGACCACGATATTACTCTGAAGAATCTTCAGATTCATAGGTAATGAAAATAACTGTTAGTTAGTTGCAGCTTTATGTTTGTCATACCTGGCATGCAGCAGGCGGGCCCTCAGTGTCTCTGAACCCGGCACAGATCATGGAGTCTCGGACACGCTCGCCCCAGAATTTCTTCTGCCGGCAGGTCTTGTGGCCAATGATGGGTAGGCGGGCTTGATTCAGGGCTTCTGCTAGAGACACATTCTCCTTCCCGCCTGAAATGGAGTAAAGGACAACAATTTTTATTTAACCTGCATTTTAGGTCAATCAATTGTCATTAAAACACTATGTTATTTTGCTGTGACAATATGACATCAAACACTAAGTAGAGTAATGATTGTCTATCATTTTGGTTTGAAATATCTCCCCTGCAGTTTTGTACAACAGTACATGCACACATTCAAGATCCACACATTTGAACTCAGATCTCACTATTTAAATAGTGCTAGCCAAGACAATTACTGCCCCGGCACCAGTGTGAGCATGTTTATTTGGACATTTATTAAAAAGTAAGGTTTTAGTGGAGATGTCTTAGAAGTACTGGATAGAAGAGACTTGGAATATATAATGCGTGAGTTTGGGTGTTTTTAGTTTTTAAACAGGTTTTTTTTAAAACATATTTTAACTGTTGTTAACACAGCCCCCATTTAGTTTCATTCATCAAGATTTTTCTTTGATTTTAGTTTCTAAGTTCACTGTGTATAAGCATGTTTTTCTTTTTCAATTCAAGATAACACATTCTAAGTAACTGATAAATAAATGATCATTTTGAGGGGAAGTGTGCCTTTAACAATCCCTCTCTTCCTCTCACCTCGGGTGTCTCCCCAGCCGGTGACCCAGCAGTAGTGTCCGGTGTTGAGGCTGGTCTGCTTGCGCGGCAGGCAGGCGTAGCGGATAAAGTCTGAGGGGACGATATCTGTGGCAGCCTTCACCAGGGCGATGTCGTAGTCCAGCTCGCTGTGAGCCGGGTAACGGAAGTTCTCGTGTCGGTAGATCCTCTTCACGGGAAAGACCCTTTCTGCTTTCTCCGAGCGTCTCAGCTGGTGCTTCCCCAGGACGATCCTCCAACTCCCAGCATCCTCAGCTTTCCCCCTGAGAGGCCAAACAAATAGTTAAAGCAAGACCATAGTGGTTCTCATTTTGTTTCTTTTTTCAAACCTTCTGTCTTTCTTCTTCTGTGTTCACGGTTTCTTACTTTTGGAAGCAGTGAGCAGCAGTAAGGACCCAGTTCTTGTGGATGAGAGTTCCTCCACAGACGTGAATGTAATGTTTGCTTCCCCTGGGACGAACCTACAGGAGACAACCAGACACCCTCCTCAGTGATGTGACAACATTTGATTACACTTTTACACATTTACTTTAAAATGATCACCTGATGGATGATTAATTATGATTTGTTATTAGTGAGTAAACAAGGATGTTCCGTTGTTCCATGTGGTTGGTTCACATTTGATAGAGCGTCAATGTTAAATCAGTTTGTTCACACATGTATTAATATATGACCCAATTAGCCCTATTCTAGTGTCCATTTACCAGAGGTGGACGAAGTACTCTCATCTTGTACTTGAGTACCAGAGTGTAGAAATACTCTGTTACAAGTTAGAGTTCTGCATTCAAAATGAGTAAAAGTAGGAAAGTATTTTCATCAAAATATACTTAAAGTACCAAAACCCATTTCAGAATAATATATATTATATGTTTTGATTATAATTATTGATTTATCAAAGTTTTGTCAAAGCTGCTAAAGGTGCAGCTAGTTTTATTGACTTTGTATACGGCAGGGTAGCTTGTGAATTTACTCCAGGTGCAACTAATAAAGTCTTATTTAAGTGTGGATTCACATCAATAATCCAAATCTGCTCATTTAAGGTGTTCAATTAATCTAGTGGAGTAGAAGTACAAAGTAGCAAAAAAGGAAATACTCAAGTAAAGTACATGTACCTCAAAAAGTACCGTACTTGAGTAAATTAAAGGGTGGCTGTGGCTCGGTGGGTAATTGAGTATGTAAGTCGCTTTGGATAAAAGCATCTAACAAGTAACATGTAATGTAATGTAAATGAACTCAGTTACTTTCCACCTCTGCGATTTACATAAAAGCGTATTTATCTATGATAACACCTTTTCTCCTGCTAATGTTAATTACAATCATTCATGTTTAAAAAAAGATTTTTTTTAAATTGTAATATTCTCAAGTGATTAGTCAATTCATTTAGTGAAATACACGTGTCAAACTTATGTGTGCTTAACCACTCCTTTCTACCATTTAAAATAAGAGAATTTACTGATTTTCTCTGTTTAACAATCTATTTGCTTTAAAAAAAGTTGTGCATATGAAATAGATAATTTAAAGACGTCACCTTTTGCTGTGGAAACTTATCATGGGCATTTTTCACTATATTCTGACATTCAATACAATACAAGATTAATTGATAAACTTCTTTAAGACCCGTAGTTGCAGTCTTAGGATAAATAAAAGTGTATCTGGTCTTAGTGTATTGGATTTTTGAATATAACATTGAATATAGCATTGAATTTAAGACCTCCCTAAGCTGAACTACATCAATGGAGAGGCAGATGTACCTGCAGAGACACCTGCCAGGGCCAGGAGTGGGGTCTGGCCTCGTTCCCGGAAACTATCCTCTCGGCTACGTTTGGCTTGAAGTGAGCCAAACCACAATCCCTTGGCCAGTCTGAGAGGAAAGCATAACAAAAAAAAGTAAAGCTCCAAAACCAGAAAGTTGATATTCAAATGTAAGGTTTTGCATGTTTTAACAGCCCTCACCCAGGTGGAGGAGCTTGTGCTGGGGCTGCCGTCCGGGGGTGAGCGTGTATGCATTTGCTGGCAGAGATGCCTTGCTCAACAGCAGCGGCAGCAGCAGAGACAGAAAGAGGAGCAGCGGAGGTCCAGGTACAGCCATCTTCATCACAGAATCCCCGGCCGGCAAACGTCCCACGCTATTTATACCAAGCAGCCAACGCACACAGATGTACATGCACAGGTACACATACAGTACACACAAACACACACAGGGACAATAAGCTGTGTCACAACAAAGGCCAAGCGCTGGATTGTTCTCCTCCAACTGCGGGTTTCCACTGCCGCTGAGAAAAAAAGGGCATTTTGGGGGAGTCCCATCAGCACTTTCACATACATATAGTATGCTCACACACACCAACATGCACACTGCACAATGCAGCACTGCACACAAACATCACATCATGTCACATGACAGCAGTGACATAGTGACCTGAACTTGACCTTTTTATCTAAACTCTCAAAACTACAGTGCATCCTTTGTAAACGTTACTCGGTAAGATATGTGTTGTTAACCTAATAGATATTTAAACGGTGTGTACAAGTTTATTCTTATTTTTTAATGTTTTTTTTCTTCCTTACATTTAACCAAATGTATAACTACTGCTGTTATTCATATTATTATATGTGTTTGATAGTTATCCCTTTCTTTCTTTTTTGAGATGTAGCTACTGTTTGGCAAATAAACAGTATTAAAAAAAAGAAATATATTTTAAAAACTATTGGATGGATTGCCATGAAAATTGGTAGTGACATTCATGTTCCTTTGAGGATGATTGTGTTATCTTTTTAATCTCCTGACTTTCTATCTAGCATCACCATTAGGTCAAAGGGTCAATGACTAAATACCTGCTAACAAAAGGCATTTATATCAGCTATATATGTGTCCCACGTGTTAGGTGCTAATGCATGCTAACATTCTAAACCAAGATGTTAAACATGCTCAAGATTATACCTGCTAAACTCGAACTAGTAAGCAATATTACTG